CAAAGGAAGGAGAGAAGATGGAGAAACCAGAAAGAGGAGAATACGTGGGCCCAAAGTCTCTCAGAGAAACTCTGGGCCAGATCATTTCTTTGACCAGTGGAAAACAATGTGTTTAAAGGTTCGGTCAGTGGAGCAGCGGAAAGCAGAATTACACGCAGACAGCTGCTGGGAATCACACGCAGCTTTCACATTGTCTCTCTGTGAACGTTAAGATCTAAAAGTGGTTAATAAAGTCAAACCTAACAAATTCCTCGCAACCAAAAGGGTGTGCTTTTTTACTTTTAGTTCAACTAGTTTAGATAAAAAATATCAAACAATATCTTTTTTTTTTTTTTTTATATACTGTATTATTAAGACAAATCTCTAATAAATCAGTTAATTTCCTCAGATTTCAGTAAAAATTGTCTTTGATTCTTATTTCAATATGAGACCCATGTTAAACAACAAGACGCTGGTGTTTTAACATAAGTATAAGACATTCCCCAAGTTTTATAACCTGACTGTCACTAGAGAACCATCACTTCTACACAATAAAATCATTTTTTTTTTTTATGTCACTGATGGAGAACTCACAAGGTTAGCTCTATAAAATAAGTAAGAGGAAGCACAGCAATTGAAATAGGCTATAAAAACGTAAAAGGTTATTTTCTATGAGATATTTAAACATCTCATCATCATCATCATTTCAGAGGCAGCAACAGAACAGGAGAAAGAGACCCGGCAGGAATGTTGGACGTAGAAATATTAGCAGCCATTTGGAAGCTTAAATGTATAATGTTCTCGCCTCAAATGATCTTAAAACGTATTATTGTAGAACAAGGACAACAGAAAAGTGAACTTCTAACCTAACACTCTGTGAGCGCCCACTGGAAGCTGCCGCAGTGCATGCTGGGAGAGCTTTCAATCTTACGAACGGACAAGTCTGCTTTGATGCCTGCTCGGTATATAGGGAGAGGCGAGAACAATATTTGACCGTTCTTCATCTTGTGTTCTTGTGAATTGGAACAGTACTAGGGCTGAGGCTGATGACCTTTCACAAGCACATGACAATGCACAAGTACACATATTGACAAACAGCCTCAGACTCTGTTTTATGTTTAATTTGCAACGATGAGCGCATTGAGCACTGGAGCGTGGCTAAAATATGGATATATATCTCAAGTGTACAACCGTTGCTGCCATGTTTTTTCAAGAGTTAGTGCTTAGCGTATTTACGTGCATTTCAAATATATTTGTTATTTAATTGAAACCAAATATTGCATCTTTGAAATTATAGCAGAATATCAACATAGTTTTGCACACATTTTGTAGTGAAAACGCAGATCTGATCGCCTTGTTGCCTGGCGTCACCTCTGCTGCTCCAGAAAAGAAACATTTTAAAGACAACTGATGGCAGGATGGCAAGAAGAAAATTATCTCTAAACGCTTCTTGAAGAAAAAAGATTTGAAATTGACATGAGGAAAAAAAAAAATCAACAACTAAAGATGATAAAGGACCCAGCAGTTAAAAACTCACCAAAAGTTTTGAATTAAATTTTTTCTGCTTTTCATCAAGACCAGAATAAATTCTCTTTAAAAAGCTATTGCTGATCTGCATCTTACAGTCTTAATAACACATAACAACAACTAAATACATTAATTAAGAATTACAACATACTGCATGCACACATTCATGCTATGTACATTTAATGTTAACTAGAACCAACATGGAATCTCTGGGCAATATTAAAGATGTTTTAATAAGAAACATGAACATCAATTTAAGACTTTTTAACCACCATGCAGAAACCCAGTATATTATTGTATAGACCCACTAACAGCTTCTAATTACTCCATTCAATGCTAGCTCAATGCCTTGCATAGTTTAAAGAGCATAGCAGCTGTACAGTACAAAAAGCCCTTGTTGCAGCACGTTCAGTGCTGTAAACAGACCACTTTAATCAATAATGACTGATTGTTAACGCTGCCAGCTTTAAGGAAAGTCACAGACGAACTACACAAATCTAGTTCCATTTGTTGTTGGTTTATAAAACCTGTTGGTTTACAGATGTAAAAAAAAAAAAAATAATAATAAACCTTTACAACTTCCATGAGGAACTGAGACATTTCATAAAGGGGGAAGTGCACAAAGAGGAAGGAGACTTTACCTGAAAGGGAAACAAAGCTTTTAGCTGTGTCTGCACCGCACTGAGGAAGGTGAAGAAAAGATATACTGGTGTGAAAGATAAGAATGATAAATGAGAGCCGTGTGGGCTGAGAGGGTGGTATATGGATAGCAGATTAAAAGGCAAAAAGGTTCAGAGAGCACAAAAAAAGAGGAGGGTGGAAAATGAGGGCATCTCAAGGCAAAGTTTCTCACATACACACGCAGGTTGGACACATCTCTCCTTCAATCAAAACTGAGCCTATCTATCCATAAGACTGCTGTGCGTTTTGAATAATGGACCCAATATGAAGCAAGTCACTGAGATGATTTGGTTGTCTGATGGGGGTCATGGGGTTCCTGCCCTGAGAGCAGTGCAGGGAATCAACAGCAGTCATAAAGGAATCACAAGACGGAGTCATTTGCATTTTACACTCACAACTAAATTGGAAATGACTCGTGTCTGCTCCTGTCTGGGCCATCCCGATTCATATCAGATACGCTTTTAATTTTTTATACGGCAGTTATGGAGAACTGGACCTCTGCGGCTTTGTCTAATTTCCCAAGACTTAGGGCTCTGAAAATCTTATGGTTCTTTCATGATATCAAAATGAAAGAGCTTTCGAATGATTTTCTTATATCTTCGGGGACAACGTCAAATGTTATGAGAGCGCTTTTGATAAAAACGGATCTTGGCTCTCTCCTCTGTCGTCCTGAAGTTCATGGAAATCTTAGCCCATTATTACAGAATAATAAATAATGAATGATGCGACTAGCTGATGGCTGAAAAGATGACTGTTAGAGAGGATGAAGGAGAGCTGTTTTATGGTTTTGTTCATTTTCACAAACCAACGTGTCCATCTGGTACTTGCTAACATGTATGCCATCTGAACACAATTAGTCAATAGAAATGTAAAAGCTAGTTTTTTTAAGTGTTTTTTGTAATTCTTTCTCATCCGTTGCTGCGCAGTGTTGTGCACAACTAAAAACAGCTACTTTTGTTTCTCAGCAGGACCTCTAAATACCAACACAAGTGAATCACAATGTCAAACCTTTCTGTTGCGATTGCATTGCTTAAAAGTGTAAATCCAAAATCAAGTCTCTCTTTTTTTAAGCTGAGCAACTAATTCTGTGAGCTTTGACAACCTATTCACAGAAACTGGGTCAAATGGGAGTATCTTTCTCAGTTGGATTCCATTAAACAAGCTACTAAAAAAATAGGATGACCAATTGGAACCAATTAAATGAGGATTTTGTAGCCCAAATAATTAGTACATCCAAAAAAGGCCTTTATAGGTTTAAACCTGCAGACTCTGATACTAAAATGCTGATATATATAACATTCTGTGTGAGTCTTTAACAACCAAAGCTTTATTTTGGCTATGAAGAGTTTTTACAGCTTTTTATAATGCTCTGACATTAAAAAGGAAGCAGAATGTCGTAAAAACTAAACATTTAAGGGTCCTTGTGTCGCCGTAGAGCTTATGTAGCTCTCCAAACATATTTTTTTGTGGCTTTTTCTTAACATTTCTTAAAAGTTGCCAACAGAGAGGCAAGCAGTTGCAGAGCAATTTCCTCTATACTGGACACAGAGAGAGTGACAAAAGATAGTCCATCCTGGATGCCATTGCTGTCAAAACCAAATTGCATTAGGTGATTTTCCTGTTGCAAAATGCATGGGGAAATTAATGTCTTCCCTGAAGTTTACTCAAATAGAGACAAACCTGAACTATTTCCTCCAGACATACAGTAAGAGGCCCCATCCAAACTGTCTTTGGTGCCTTTAATCTCACATTATTGTTTCACTAATATGTTAAATAGTTGGCATCCACCTGTAAATTTTCATGAAACAAACTGAATTAAACTTGTACTCTTTTAAAAAGTTTGGTAAATTAAAATAGCAAAGCTTGGTACATATATAAAAATGTCTTAATTTAAGTGAATTTACCCATTTGAGCATTTACACTAATTTCAGCAGGAAAATACAATCGTTTGCCAAGGGAATGAGTTTATTTACTCTTAGAATAAGATAGTTAGGTAATATGTACTTGAAATAAGAAAATGCAGTTGTTTTTTTTTTCTTATTTTAAATAAAGCTGGGTAAAAAAATCGATTTAATCGATTTTGAATCGATTCCTCTACATTTTTGCAGAATCGATATCTAGGGAATGAGATCGATTAGTTTTATAGTGATCAAGTGACATTCACAATCAATTGAGCAGGAAAGATGCACTCAAGATTACTTCAAGCCGGACAGCTGCAAATATAGCCAATAGTTTGACAGAAGACATTAACAAATGGGGGCTGAGCAGCAAACACCCTGTAGTTGTTACAGAAAACGCTGCAAATATGGTTTTTGCAGTGAAGATAATCCAGCTCATGCATGTCTGCTGTGTCACGTCTGCTTGCTCGAGTGAGGCTTCACTTTTTCACTTTTCACAAACAAGTTTGCACTTATGAGACAGTTTTGTTCACATCTCAAGCTTAAACTGTCTGATTTAAAAGTTTGCACCTTGTGTTTAATGTGACAGAAAAAAAAATAAATACACAAGTATTCTGAAACACAGTTGAACCACTTTCATTGTTGTAAAAACAGATAGAATTGAAATTAATCGATTTTGAACTTCTTTTAAGGGAAAAATTATTTTTTTTGCAGTATATTCTCATCAGATTATAAACTACTGTCTGCTTCATTAACAGTAATTACAGAATACAGTTGCTTCAAAATAAAGCATGGTTATACAGGGATATCATGGTGTTTTATGTCAATATCACCCAGCAATGATCATTTCATACCAGTCCCTGTCAAAGCAATGGACATGTTAGTTCATGTAATAATAAAAGCACTGTTGATTACCTGCTCCAGTATTTTCCTGTATCTCTGGGTGGCTTGCTGGATCAGGTCCCTCACAGTCCATCCATCCTTGCAAGGCACAACTACACCTGTCTGTCCAAAATTGACTGTCACCTTCATCATGAAGCCTCTGGTTTAGTGCTGGTGAAGAGAAGCCAAGGAGGCGGTAGGATCCAAAATGCAAAGTTTACTAAACAAAAGTCTAATTCCAACCCACAAAAAGGAAGGGAAAAAAAAGCTGCAAACAACAGCAGTCAGAGCAACTTCTTTAAAAAGTTTCCTTCGGAGCTACACAGTTAAATGTCATTGTGATTTAGCAGGCAGCACTTTTAACCAGCATGCAGTGGTCAGCTCTCTCATCTCTGTCCAAGCTCTACGGATGATGCTGTTTAGTTAGGTCAAAACATAATCAAGGTTTATTGAAGCGTTGAACCTCTGTGCTCTTTTCATGATGGAGTCGCTAATAAACTAGAGGTGTGTCGTATTATTGAATCCTCTTTGCGACTTTACCGGATTCTGATCCAATAAGCTAGCTGATTAGCCTTATTGTATAACCTGGACCGCGCCAGGATAATTTTACTTTCACAACCTTTTTTTTAATACTCACGCGTCTTTTTCTGCTACAGCTAAACTAACTTTGACTTGTTAAGGTTGAAGAAAAGTTTCCCATCACCCGTTAGCGAGCGGTTCCTGTGCTAGCTAACGTTAGCCACCTTAGCTGAGTTTCGGAGGAGGGAGGGATGCAGCCGTTCGGGCATCATTCCTAAAGTTTTCCTCTCGCTTCCAGTCAGTCGTTTGCATCTATTTTTGTTTCCTCAAAACAGGACAAGGAAGCGCAGAAGTTATTAACACCTCCAGTTACAGGTTGAGAGAGAGCTGACCCAGCGAAGCAAAAAATTAAACTTTTCCTGAAGTGGGAAAGTTTTGAGATTCCTCTACAGCGCCCGTCCGCTCCTGACCAGTTCCTGACCAGCGACTTGTTGCTGCCGCTGCTGCTGCTGTCACTTTCTTAAAGGGGACGCGCCGAAAAAAAGGCAACCTATATTAAAAAAGTGTTTTTTAAAGGGATTGTAAATTACTTTATATCACATGCTGTCCAACATTTTGCTGCTGTCTTAATACCTTCTTTTTTTTATTAACAGTGTCCTATACGGAAGAAGAGGGCCACTGAAAAAGAAAAGTTAACGGATTTTTACATTTTATTTCAGTTTAATATGGGAAAAAGTCAGGATTCTGACTTTAATCTCAATATTCTGACTTTAATCTCAGAATTCTGACTTTTTTCCCATAATAAACTGAAATAAAATTTAAAAATCAGTTAACTTCTTTTAATTTTTCAGTGGCCCTAATCCTCTTCCGTAGTCCTGTCTGGCGATGTGGCAAAAAAAATAATTGTCTTGATGCCAAAAAGAGAGCCCAACTTGCGAAAGCAAAATCTGCTTTCACAAGTGGAGCAGTATGGCTGTCGCCATAGATTTCCGCTTGATTTATGCATATAAATAGCTTCATTATAATTCATGCAGGGAGTATTACAGATTTTATTTACACTGTAATGTAAGTAGAGCAGGAAAGAAAAACAGGACAAAAAGGAAAAAATATGAGGGAAAGAGGAGATAAAAGGGGCGATACAAGGGAGATAATGATAAAAACATATTCAGTCTGCTTCATCTTCTGCAAAGAGATGTAGAAAGTACAGCACAAGCAACGAATGTAGATACAATAAACGGATAAGATATACAATAAAGTAACACATAGATACTATCGCTGAAGTGTAAGTAGTATTATTTAATCTGACATATAAACTGTTGTAGCTGAAGATAAGAATATGGGCTTTCTGTATGGAAGTGAACCTCTAAGTACCTGGGGCCAAGCACCTGTAGTTGTTTGTTAGAGTGCACTTGTGCATAAAGTTTATCCAAAGGGAAAATGCTCAATAGTGGTTGTGAAGAGCCGAAGACCCGCCCCTCCAGAGCACCGACCCAAAGCCCCAGAAACCAAAAGGGATCTCAAGACCAAAGGCGCCCAAGAGGGGCCACACCCAGGAAATCTGACCCCACAACAAGGGAGGAGGAGAGACGGCCCCGAGGAAAACCCCCAGCCTCCGCAATGCTGGAGCCCTCAGGAACCACGGGGACGAGTCCGCGAGATGCGCCGGACTTTCAAAAGTTATATCACACAGTTAATATGGCTTTCTATTGCTATATGTTATTTGTCCTTTGACCAGTCCTCCATGATACAGAAAGAAACTTTATTGACAAATGGTAGAGAAATTCCTTATATTAATGAAAATCTTGTGCTTGTAAGATATATTAGTATTTTATTTATTTTTCAAAATAAAAAGAACAAGTGTCCCCGAAGGATCAGTGTCATTTCCACCACAAAATGTAACTTTTAACTTTTTTTTTTTACCTTTGTATACTTACAATCACATTAGTGTTTAAGTAACAGGACAGCTATAAACAGGATAGCAGTGTTAGCTCTATGGAAGGAAGGGACACAAGAAGAAAAAAAAAAGTTTTATGAAACCAAGAATGGATTTATTGGCTGTCATTTTCAAACACTTCAGATTTTGTTGGAATGTAGAAATAATGAGGAAAATGACATTTTATATGGTGTATTTTAAAAGAAATACTAAAAGTTGCTATTTCCAAAACAGTCATTTCTATCACTATATATAATATACTTGCATATAATATTTATGAAATCTCATCAGAACCTGTGTCAGTTAATGTTTCTGCATGGCGTCAGTGTTATGAGTCCAGCCCAGTTTATTCATGTCAATAATAAGCTGGGCTGGAATCAAAAAACCGCCTCCCCCTAATGAAAAGGCTGAGGTCCTTTATAGTGAGCAGACCCCTGCTTAAAACCTTCTATGACTCTGTGGTGGCATCAGCCCTCCTCTGATGTCTACTAGGACCCTGGCAGCACAGAATGGAACAGAAGGAAACTGAACAAACTGGTGAGAAAGGCTGTTTCTGTCCTAGGCTGCACTCTGGACTAAGTGGAGTGGGAGAGGAGGGTGCTGTCCAAGATTACATCCATCATGGACAACACCTTCCATCCTCTGCCACCAGACTGTAGAGGAGATGAGCAGCTCCTTTAGTGAAACACCTTTACACCCTGTTTGTAAAAAGGAGTGCTACTGTAGGTCATCCATCACTGCTGCAACCAGACTCTACAATGCAACACTATTACGGCAATAACTTGTGAAATATCCAATGTGCAATTACTATTTAATACCCTTGGCAATAACAGTTTTTTTGTATTTGCTACAAATAGCAAATATATAATAGTGCAATAGCTATATATATATATATATATATATATATATATATTTTGTATATATTTTGTATATATATGTATATATATATATAAATCTGATCCTAACTTGATTCTTTTAAACTGCAGAGTAGTTGTTGTCTATTGTGATTTAGAATTAAGATTGAACTGTCTATTTTGCGTCCACTGTTCGGGTTTCTGATCAAAAAATCAGATTAAGTCAAATTAGAGAAAAACAAACTCAAAAGACTGCGAGAGGATGCTGCACACTGGACTTGGTGCCACAATGGGAAATATCTTTTTATCAGTCTACAGCAGCTTGTTCTCACAGGGTTGCAGCAATAATTACGCTGGAAGCAGTGTTTACGACGACATTCCAGCAGTCCATCGCAAGAACCAGGAAACAATGGAATTAAAATATTTTTTAAAAAGTATTTTCCAGTTGTACAAAGAGAACGTTGTTACTGAAGATACCTGATGACAATTAATTACATTAAACCTGATACATTTTCTGTCAGATCGGCTCCCTCATAAATTCTATTTCGAACAGAACAGAATTTCTGTTCTCCATCTTAAATGTTTGTTTAATTACTGCATATCCTTATTCAATTCCATACTATTGCGTGCTTTGTGTTGTGAAGTAACTCAAGTTAAATACTATATTTTAGTTTGTTTTTAAAAGGCAATGACAATAAATATTTTAACATTTTCTATCACTGTGAAATACCACTACAGAACATGTAAGATTAAATTAAAAAAAACATCTAATTTTCCTACATTTTTCCACATGTTTTAGAATTAATCTCTCATTATTGTCGGTCAATAAAACCTTCGTCATGATTTAACTTCATCTATATTGGGTTTGTAACGGTCACATTTACCAAAATCGTGTTGGAGCATCAAAAAATATGAAGGTCCATTTGACCCCCATATATTTCAGTCAATCTTTATTTAGTGAACACTCAAAATGGCAATTTGCTGTACATTCCCAAAGATGAAATTACTACTGCATTATAAAAAGTGAGAAATATTAGAAATATACACATATTTCCTATTTTATCTATATGCCATTCTAACAATACCTTTGTTTTTTTTAATATTATGCATAAAAAAAACACATATTTTCCCCTAAAAACACAAATTTATGGCAGAGTTGAGTATTTGTAATTCATTGAAGAATCATAGTTTGAACTACAACAAGCTGTTAGGACTAGTTACTGGAACCATTTCAGCATTATAATACTGAAGCTGTATTTACAAAACATCCTGGATTTCCAGAGTTTGGTTCATCTTCAAAGGGGGGAATCCCTCCGTGAGAGGAGGAGTTTGACTTTGTAATTAGCAGCTGAACTGCCTGCATGCGTGGATCTGCTAATTCATTTGAGCGCGTTTTAGTTTCTGGGTCACTGAATTGCATTGCTGCTAATGAACCCCAGGGGAGAAGGAGCATTGTTAATGCAAGCCTTTTTTCTTCTCTTTTTATCTTCTGTGATAAAGTTTTAAAGTTGGAAGTTATGCATGAATTATCATCCAACTAATACATTTTAATTTACTCAAAAATAACCACACATTTTAATACACACCATAGGATGTATTTACAATATTTATCTATAGGTTTTAATTATTTATATTTTTTATCAGTGTGTTGTTATTATTATACTACCGGTAATAAGCAATAACAACAGGAGCAGCTTTTAAAGTGAAGAGCAGCACTAGGACTAAATGAACATTGCATGAACTTCTCCAGATTGCAAAAATAACTTTACAATCTAAAGATCTTTCAATCGATTAGGTATTTGACTTTACATTCCCTTTTGTGCAGCTGTGGCAAGTTATTTTTTTATTTTTTTCCAGAAACTCATCCTATGCATGAAAGTGATACATTGTTTTTGGCACACAGATATTTTATTCAACTATTCTTTTTGGCTCAAACTCTTAACACAAAGCATCTATAGTTTGCACAAATCTGAGGAAGAAGTTTAAATTACTGTGGAGTTTTCTTACACATGTTTAAAATTATTCTTGTATCATCACCACAGCATTTGATTAAATGCCCATTAGCAAACATCAGAGGATTTGAATGCCACACTTGTACTTCTTCAAACATTGTTCTTTTGTCCAAATATTTGTCTCACATGACATCATTTCACCATCCATCCATCCTTTTTCCATCACGCTTATGCCAACCAGAGGTTCCGAAGGGAAATCCAGGTCGGTGTCAGAAAGCAGCTCAAAGTTCAGCAAATAGGCAAAATCCAGCAGGAGTCCCAACACAGGTCAGGCAAAGAGATCAGACGGAAAAAGGTAATCAGACACTAAGATAACGCTGGCACACTCTAACCACTGGTGCGGGAATAATCTGGCCCTGATGACTGGAATCAGGCAGGTTAAAACAGATGATTTATAGGCAGAACAGGTCAGGATTAGGTAATCAGAGACACTAAGGTAACCATGGCACACTCTCCCCACTGACACGTAAATGATCTGGCACTGATGACTGGTTAGAGGGCTGGTAAAATAGAAACAGTAGCAGGTGGTTAAGATGAAGGTAATGAGACAACAGGCGGAGCTAGGCAGGTGAATGAAATTAGTAAACCAATCAGTCATCAGTGCCAAGATAATGACAATATATCCACATTTTCCCAACTTCAACTAAAAATCTGATGATTCTCACCTAGTC